AAATCCAGGTTAAACTCAAGACACTTATCCTCATGTTTTGCTATACCAGTTAGATCCAATGTAACTTGAAATTGAGTTTTATTGCTTACTTCTACTTATAACATTATGAACATACCTTAGTATTGGTGAAAAAAGCGTTAAAGTTGTGATACTCCTAATTTTATGTTATATTTTCCAGTAACTTGGTGAATACTTAGAGGAACATTTTTCTTATTTAGTTCCTTCTTATTGGAGAGCTATTACATGATAATATGGCAGTGGTAAGAATGATGGTAAGGGTGACAGCGATGATTTACCTGATTTTTGCTTGCCATTATGTCATCTCACAATAACATGGTGAAGTGGATGCCTGCCTATCTATCTAAATAAAACTCTCTCCCTTAAAAATGAACAAACTGAGGCCAAGTAATAGAATTAAACTGAGTTCTAACCAAGGCTTTTTCCATCCTTCTACTTACTCTTCACATTGCTATAAAACTGAAGGAGAAAAATAGTTCTCCTCCATTCCTAGAATTATAAAATGACTCCAAGCTGCCCATTTGTCTAAGTCAGTAAATCATTAAGGGACCAAGATTCAAGAAGATATGTGCAGATATATTAGCCTCACATTCACTTTGCAGTTTCTGTGAGGAACCATAATGTGTTGTTTGTCCTTCATTCAGTCCTAACTAACTGGACAAATCATCTGTCAGACTCCATATACTGAAGCACCACATCCTTGAAAGGGAAAAAGGGAAATAAATTAGCCCTCCCAAAGATTGAAACTAGCTTCAAATTAGCTTATTCTCTAGTTATATAAATACAATTTTATCCCTAGTCAACTACCTGCCAGGAAATAAAATAAAATCTTCACTACAGTAAGATAATATACAGTAAGATAATACTTTGCCTTGATAATTTTTTGCATTCAGAACAGGGACAGGCTGACTGTAGACATCAGTTCATGAGCCTACCAGCCAGTGCTGTACAGCCTTCAAGCTTCACAATAAGTTTTGCATTTCAAAATGATTGACAACAAACAAAAAGAACAACAGTATTTTGTGATGTGAAAAATATATGAAAGTCAAATTTCCTTAACTAAACATGATTTTTTTGAGCCACATTTCTTCACAACCACATTTCTTCACCTACATATTATCTAGGGCTGTTTTCATGCTACTATGACAGAATCCAGTAGATGCAGCAGAGATTATGGTACAAAAAAAACCTAAGTAATTTACTTAATGGCCCTTTTGGAGAAAAATTTGAGGACTCCTATAGAGATTTTAGGATGAA